TGCTCGCGCACCTGGCCGAGGGTGCCGCAGGCGGGGTGGCACCCGGCCTGGAGGAGTGGCTGTGCTGCGAGTATCTCGCTGGGGCCACAGTGGCTTCACTGGGCCACGCCCTGGAGCTGCTGTGGACCGACCCTAAGTGACAGTGACACCTCTGGCCCGGGCTTGTCCACTTTGCCAGGGCTGGGGCTGGAGTCTCCGTGACACTGTGGACACCGGCTTCCAGCAAAGTCCGAGGATTCAGCAGATGGTACTGGGGTGTGACGCAGCCCTACGTGACCTGGACCCGGCGCCTCACCAAGAGCACTGCTTGCCCCTTGGGTGCTAACACCAGTTACCATCTCCATGAAGTGGACACTGGCCTTCCATTAACAGCACTGAGGGGGCAAGCGGGTGCAAACGATGACCACCAGTCTGCCAACTATGGTATGGTGAGTGGGACATGGGAGAGCACAACTGTCATCCTATCACTCTGGGAGGCTGATGCAGGAGTATCTCAAATTCAAGTCCAGCCTGGGCCACTATCTCAAAATAATAAAAAGGGTAAGAGATATAGCTCAATGCAAAGGTCTTGGGTTCAATCCCCAGCACTAAAAATAAAAAAGCCCTGATGGCCTCACAGGGCCTGACCTCAGGACCCCAAAGGCCTCACCCCACCACCCTCCTCTATCAGGGAGCTCTGGGCTCCGCAGAGGTCGTTCCCCCACACCGGTTTCAGTCCCATTTCCTTCAAGAAATAAAGCTGCTTCTGGTTGCTCTCCAGCTCCCACCCTGCCCCTCCTGCACACTCAGCCCCACCTGGGAGTATTTATCCCCTCCAGATCTGCGACTGTCCAGCTTCTCCACCAGCTCCCTGACCTCAAGAGCCAGGGTGGCACACAGCAGGTGCTTGGCTAATAACCAAGGTGATGGAATGACCTGAGACTCAGGGGAACTCCGAAGGACCCCCCAAAGCCTCCGTGGGGCCCTCTCTATTCTACCCCCACATAGCTGCCCACGACTTTCACCACCATCACACAGGACCAGGGCCCTCTCCTGCCCATACTGCCCATGGCTCCCCAGAACTCTCAGAAAAGCGGGTCTCCTCCTAGGACTGTGGACTCCTAGCCAGCCAGCCCCATGCCACACTCAACAGAGGCTGCCCTGTGGCCTCCAAGCTTTCACCAATCTTGTTTCTTCCCCTGGAAGCTCCCATTTTATTGCTGTTTCAGCCTATTTATCCCTCAGCAACCCAGCTCCAATTCCTTCTCTGCATCTGTGTGGCCCAGATCAGCTAAGAGCCTTTTCCCTGTCTCCCCCTGCCGGCTGTGGGGTCCCCACCACCACTGAGGAACACCCCTAAGGATGTGCTGTCAGTCTCTCCATTCAACGCTGGGCCTTTTCAGGGCATGACCCAGATGCAGCCAGCAGGTGGCGATGTGGCCCCATGGATAACGTTGGAAGCCAGGATGGGTGCCTTTTCTGTAGCCTCCCTTGGCACTGTCCCCAACACCAGCCTCCACAAGCCAACAGGAAGCAATAGGGATGGGAGGTGGGGGACACAGACCCTTACTGTTTCAGGCCCCTCCGAAGCAGCTTCCAAAGTCACTTGAAGGGGACAGCAGGGCCAGCTGGCCAGCGAGGCAGGGACATACACAGGGCAGGTCACCGAGTAACCCCCACTGTCCAGGGCCTGGAAAGGGAAGGAAAGCCAGGCTGCAGTGAGGAGCAGGACCCAGAACTCTCCCACAGCTGCCCCTTGGGAATCTCCAGAGCTGAGCCCATGGATCCCCAGGTACTGGCTCAGGGTGCTTGGGGGCACAGGTGGGCCAGGGGAACCTGCCTCTACTTTTGCCTTCCCGCTGGGCCACCGCTGACAGGAGACAGTGGCCTGAGGTCCCCAACCCAGGATGCCCTCTCCCGAGCTTCTTGCCCCAGTAACACCAGAGTCCACACAGGTCACGGAGGTGTCATCACATTTATTCAGATTTTCGAGAGCAGAGAAGAGATTAATGCCTATCTTTCCAAGGGAAGAGACCTAAGACTGGGTCCACTGAGCAACTCCTCCCGTACAAGGGGATCTGAGTCATCTTCAACCAGCAATACAAAAGTAAAATATAAACTTTTATTTAGAATTAAAGCAAATACTTCAGTATCACAAACACAACATTAAACTTCAAGAAATATACCGCTAATTTGGAGTGAGCGTTTATTTGCACAATTATGACATGCGGACAAACCCAGAAGAGGACACCGAGTCTGTGTCCCCCAGTGCAGCACGCTGAGGGGACGGGGACGACCACCACCATGGGGGCTCCCCTGGCAGTCGGGCCACTACTCCTCCTCACCAGCAGACTCTCTCTCGAACGTGTAGGCCATGAAGCAAGCATCGGGTCTCTTGGGGACAAGGGGATGCCCTGGTCTCACAATCTCAAAGCCCAAAAAGCTGAAGGTCCGGAGCAAGGCAGCTGCAGGAAAAACAACATCAGGACCTGCGGGTGGGAGGAGAGGGGCTGGGCCTCGCCAGGGTGGAGTGGCACCACGGGGAGGAGGCACCTACCTCTGTCTTCCCGGTTCTTATGGAAGCAAATGAAGACATGGTCCGCGTGGAGCTGCTCCTCTGCAAACTCAAGGAGAACTGCGAAACTGAGATAGGCCAGGACCATCAGCATCGGTCGGCCCCTCACCCCACTAGGGGTGGACAGGAGGCTGGGTCACTCTGTAGGGGACAGATCATCCCTGCCCGCTTCCCACCCACCAGGACAACTGAGGGTCGCCCTGGGGGACCCCAGGCCTTGGCCTGCCCCGCCCACCTGTCCTTGCTCCCCTCAGGCAGGGGGCCGCCTGGGATCTCAATATAGAGGCTGCCGCCGCTCCACACGGCTCTCCAGGTAATGTGTTTGGCATCCGTAAGCCTGGACTGGACATTTAGAATCCTCGTCTTGTTATTAGACGTTAGTTCCTCTGTTACATTCAGCCGATTATCCTGTTCCAAGTGAGAGCAAATCCAACCCCATGTTAGAAACCTTGCCTCTCAGATGGCATCACCCCCTCCGTGCAAAAGTAAGGCAGCTGCCAAACTGGGAAATCCAGAGAGCTCCAAAGTCACTGTCACCCACCCAATGAGCCTTTCAGGGCAGAGCAGGCTATAAAACTGGCTCTGACTGCACACACAGGCGGCAGTCTCCTGCTCAGGCTGTCCCTCAACTCCCAGCCACGAGCAGCCCAGTACTTACAGAGTAGAATGAGTTAGCTGAAAGATTGTGATCCCGCTGACTATTCCCTCGCCCACCTGGGATCTTCAGGGGTGGGTGAGGGACATCAGGAGCACCACCGAGGCCCTGGACCCAGGTTACTACAGCAACTGATGGAGACCCTGGAACTGGAGCAAAGATCTGGTTACAGGGCAGCAGGCAGCTCACATATGTCTCCAGGCACTTCCAGAGCAACAGACAAGGTCTGGCCCAAACCAAGTGTCTTCTCTTCTACCCCGCCATTACCTGGGTCAGGGGAGGCTTCTGCCCAACCCCAGCCCCCACTCACATCTCACCCCCCCATTTCTAACTCCAACACCCCAGCTCCAGATGCAATCAGAAATCCAGGATCTAGCGTTTTCCTCAGCAGCCAACACCTGTCTCTAAGAGGAAACTTCAGCCACAGACCTCTCTGGTCAGAAACTCGCAGCAGGGCTGCTGTCTGGATCCCAACCTGATGACACACTGTCCCGGCCCCTCCCGCACCCTGCCTGGCCCCTGGGTTGCGTCATCTCGCAGACGCCTTGGCCCCGGGGGAGATTTTCACAATCGCACAGATGACAGCGCCAGCAGCCATTTGCTGCACAGTGTAAACAGCCCCAAAGTCGCCTCCATTTTGCACAGCTCCAGTGCAAGGCCCCCAAACCACAGCCCGCCAGCACGGCGTCACCGCCCACGGAAGACCACAACGGTGGCCGTCAATGCCCACCTGGGGGAACAGCCCCAGAGGAGACTCCGCCAGGACCCCGGGAACCCCAACAACAGCGAAACGGGCACCGAGTACCCCACATCGGCCCCCATCGCACCCGTCCCCGCTGACCCCTCCCGGCCCCCACGGTCTCGGCAGGAAGCCTCCCGGGGGGCCACGCACTAAAAACGGAACCCACAACCACGGCAGAGTCGGCCTGCGCTAGGCACGAACAGTTCTGAAGCACAGCTCCTCAGCCTCGACCAAAAGTGCGAATTCACGGGACGCACACCCCAACACCGTCGGACCAGCCTGGCCCCACAAATCCGGCCCCGCCCCTAAACCCGAACCCCCTATCTGCCAACCAAACCCCAACTCAGTTCTGCACCCCCCAAACCAACCTCCACAACCTGCACCTCCCAAACCCGACCCCAACTTGCCTTCCTCCCGTGTGCACCCTCAAATACAACCCCCCAACCTAGATCAATGCTGACAGCCGACTCCGGGCCCCTACAAACGCGATCCCCGATTTCGCATCTCTCTCAGAGACCCCCTGGGGCCCCTAATTTCAATATTCAACCATGAACTCTTCCCCGATCTGACTCCCTATCCTAAGATCCCTAGCTCTCGTGGCCCGAATCCCATCTCAAATCAGAGTTCTCGTCCTGTGAACCCCAA